TGATGTGGGGCTTGATCCCAGGACCCTGAGATCATGACCTGAGCCCAAATCAAGAGTCAGACTGCTTAACCGACTGAGTCACCCATGTGCCCCTAGAGGAAGAATATTTAAATGACTTAAGAATAAACTGTATTCAAGCACTTTTTCCAGTGTCTTGTTTTTTAAATTATAGCATGAACACATCATGAGATTTAGCCTCTTAACAGATATTAAGTGACAATACAGTATTATCATCCATAGGCACAATGTTGTATGTCAGATCTCTGGAACTTACTCATCTTGCATAACTGAAATTTCATACATGTTGATTAGCAACTCCTTGTTCTCCCCTCCCCACTGACAACCACCACACTAATCTTTGCTTCTATGACTTTGACTATTTTAGATTCCTCATATAGGTGGAATCGTGGTATTTGAACTTCTGTGACTAGCTTATTTCATTTAGCCTAATGTCTTCAAGTTTCATCCAGGTTGTTGCATATTGCAGAGTTTCTTTTTTAAGGCTAAATAATATTCCATTGTATATATACATCCTATTTTGTTTATCCATTTATCTGTCAGTGCACATTGTTTCTACATGCTGGCTATCATGAATAACACTAAACTGAGCATGGGAGTATTAGCATCTCTTCGAGTTCCTGATTTCAATACTTTTGGGTAGGTACTCAGAAGTGGGACTGCTGGGGCGTATGGTACTTCTGTTTTTAATTTTTTGAGGAATCTCTATACTGTTTTCCTTCACAGCTGCAATATTTTGCATTCCCACTAACTGTACAAGAGTTCCAATCTTGCCACAACCTCACCAATACTTGTTGCCTTTTGTTTTTTTGATAATGGCCACCCTAACAGGTGTGAAGTGATATTTTATTGTGGTTTTAATTCACATTTCCCTGATGATTAGTGACACTGAACATCTTTCCATAAACCTGTTGATCATTTGTATATCTTCTTTGGAGAAATATCTGTTTAAATCTTTAGCCAATTTATTAATTGGTTCACTAGGTTTTTCTGCTCTTAGGTTGTAGGAGTTTCTTATATATTTTAGAAATTAACCCTTTATCAAATATATAGTTGCAAATATTCTTTCCCATTCTGTAGGTTGGCTTTTCACTATGTCGATTGTTTCTTTTGGTGTGCAGAAGCTTTTTAGTTTAATGTAGTCCCACTTGCCTATTTTTGCTTTTGTTTCCTGTGCTTTTGGCGTCATATTCATGAAATCATTGCCAAAACCAATGTCTGAAGGTTTTTCAAGTATTTAAGTCTTTAATATGTTTTGAGTTGATTTTTGTGTATGGTATGAGATAAAGACTTTCATTCCTGTGCATGTGGATATTCAGTTTTCCTAGGACCATTTGTTGAAGACACTTTTTACCAATTGTGCATTCCTGGCACCCTTGTCAAAGATCAGTTGACCATATACGCATAGATTGATTTCTGGGCTCTCTATTCTGTTTCATTGGTCTATATGTCTATCTTTATGCCAATATCATACTGTTTTAATTACAAAAGACCCCAAATACCTAAAACAATCTTGAAAAAGAAGAACAAGGCTGACCACACTGCCTGATTTCAAAATGCCTTACAAAGATATATATTACGAAGCTAAAGCATCTTCTAATATCTTAAAGCATAACTTTACTTTTATGAAAAACTGTTGTCATGAATTCCAGTTAGGGATAATAGAGACTACCTAAATCCTAATCTCTTCACATGTCCTCCCCACAAAACCTGTGAATTCGAAAAGGAGCACAAGTCAACCATTCATGAAGTTATTCTTTTAGCATTTGTAGGAGACCCAAGATACCACAAACCTCAAATTATCTATGAGTAGGAAAACAAACAGCAAATTTCAGAGTTCCTGTTGCTGCTGCAAGGACTCTCTAAAGAAGGTCTTTAGAAACCCTGGGAAAGAGGAGAGGTGGTTAGGAGGTGTAGAAGCACAGTAGCCTTGGCAAAACATTGCTTCTGGAGGAGGAGATAAAAGGAGCAGTTGAGATGTCCCTCTGATACCTGGAGGTGAAGAGAAAGAAGGAAGTAAGGGGCAAGGGGTGGGGGGTGGGTAGGGAATTGAATATCCTGCATAAATAAAAGAGAACCAGAGGCATACCAATTACTCCCTGTAACCCCAGTAAGTCAATGTCATCCCTTAGATAAACTGAACTTCACTATGCCGACAGAAGGCACCACTCTGAAATTAGGATCCCTGTCCATGACCTGCCTAGCAGTAGGAAGAATCACAAATCAGTAATAAAGTACAAGGTGTCCAAAGGAGAACATGTTGAAATGAAAATTTAATAGACTCATTTAGTTTCAAAGAAGGTAAAGGAAGACATCAAAAGGGTCAAAGAGAAAGTGGTTGAAATGGAAGACAGGCAGAGGAGATCTGACATATAATTGGCATCTCTAAAGAAGAAAAACAAAATATTTGAACTAAACAAATATTCAAAGTTATAATCCAAGAAAAATTTCCAGAAATAAGAGAAAACATAAATCTACATGTCAAAAAGGCCCAGTGTGTCCCTGGGAAAATTGACTCAGAATGCTTAAACCCAAGACATACCATAGTAAAACCATTAGATCTTAAAGTCAAAGAAATTCCTCAGGATTTCAAGCAAAAAGGACAAAGTATACAATGGCTGAGAAAATTAGTTTGGCATCAGACTTCTCAAGAGTAGCTTATATAGCAAGGCAAGAGTGGAACAGTATCTTCAAGAAACTCAAGAATAGAAAGTGAGTCAAAGGTGTTATATCTAGCTGTCCTTCATATGAAGGCTATAGAAAAACAGTTTAAAGCATGCGATAACTTAGGGAATACTGTGCCCGGGAGCCCATGCTCAAGAATCTACTAGAGCAGTGGTTCTCAAAGTGTGGTTCCCAAAGCAGCAACATCAGAATCACCCGGGAAGTTAGAAATGCATATTCTCAGGCCCACCCCAGGCCTGCTGAATCAGAGGCTTTGGGGTGAAGTACATCAATTTGTATTTTATCAAGTCCTACATGTCATTGTGATTCACAGTCCACAAGAGAATGAACTTCTTCCAGCCAAGGGAAGACTGAGAATACTTTGGCAGAGGACTGATAGCAAGCATTTAATATACTGATTATAGATATAAGTCTAAGACATGGGTGGAGACATGATTGGAATAACAATGTGTAAAGCATCATATATATTGCCAAAATAGAACACAAAACAACAACAAAAAAATGAGAGAATAAAAGAAAGGCATTTCTGGGAGGGCAGGAGAGTAGTGTGGTTTTTCTGGGAAATAAATAAATAAATAGCAAAAGTAGAATAAGACCATTAATTTTTGTATAGGTAATAGGTGGAATTCAGAGGATACCATTTTTTTAAAGATTTATTTTATTTTAGAGATGGGGGAGGGGCCAAGGGAAAGAGAGAATCTCAAAACAGACTCCCTGCTGAGCATGGAGCCCAACGTGGGGCTCGATGTCACGACCCTGAGCCTAAATCAAGAGTTGGATGCTTAACCAACTGAGTCACCCAGGTGCCCCCAGAGGATATCTGACAAACCTGACAAACGAGATAGTAAAAGATTAAGGGAGAAAAAAAGGAGGATTAAGGGCGTCATAAAAGACATAATGGCAAGGTCACCAGTCGAATAACTCAACTAAATCCAATACATGATCCTGTGCTGAAAACAACTGCTAAGAGAACTTTGTTGGTACAGTTGATGAAATTGGAATATGGAATGTAGATTAACATATTGCATCAATATTAAACTGAATTTGTTGACTGTGATGTGAATATTCAAGAACTTCTTGTTCTTAGAGTACATGCCAACTATAGGGTAAAGTGGTACAATACATGTAACCTACTCTCACATAGTTCAGAAAAAGTGATATGCATTTGAAAGAGAAAAGGCAAACATGGCAAAATGTTAAAAATTAGTAAGTCTGTAAAGGATACATAGGAGTTTTTCTGTATTCTTCTTGTAAATTTAATATAAATTTAAAATTATTCCAAAATAAAAAGTTTTTAAAAATTATATGTCAGTCATTCCTAACAATTTAGGTTACCCCAATTGTATGGTTTGTAGGTTTATTATATTTATTTGAATGGAACAATCTTTCATTTCTTTAAAATATCCTATACTTCACACCTTGCTAATGCATATCAGTCATCTCAATAAATTTTAGTTTAGTGAATTTTACTAGAATAAGGCAGACAGTGATGACTAATGTCATCATCCATCTTGCTAAAAATTGTTAGATATAAGAATACATTTTGTGGGGGTGCCTGGATGGCTCAGGTGCTTAAGCATCTGACTCTTGGTTTCAGCTTATGTCATGATCTCAGGGTCATGAGATCGAGCCCCATATTGGGCTCCATGTTGGGCATGGAGCCTGCTTAAGATTCTCTCCCTTTCCCTCTGCCCCTCCCCCCACCCCTGCTATAATTTTCTTAAAGTATTTAAAAATATGATTACTATTTATGTATACAGTATGATTGAAGCTAAAAGAGGTAAAAATTCATTTAATTATTCACATTTTTAAAAAGATTTTGTTGATTTATTTGACAGAGAGAGAGTACGAGCAGGGGGAGCGGGAGGGAGAGGGAGAAGCAGGCACCCCGCTGAGCAAAGAGCCCGATGCGGGGCTCGATCCCAGGTCCCTGGGATCATGACCCCAGCCAAAGGCAGACACTTAACCAACTGAGCCTCCCAAGTGCTCCGATTATTCACATTTTTTATCTCATAACTCTGTGATCATTTGCTAAAAACCTCATATAGACAAATGAGAAAAATTTTGCATTGAATACTTAAGCTTTGCACTTTGCACTGCTTTGTCCAAACAAAATAACCAGCAAATAAGTCTAATTGTTTTTTAAATACACTAAAACTCAGAGTGTTAGTGTGATCCTAGGGGGAAATAGTAAAGATAAGTACAAGTGGTATGTCCTTCTTTTAAAAAATTCATTTATACCAGCTTTAACTCAGTGTTAAACAACATAGTGAAGTACTTTGTTTTTCTTTTTGAAGATATGGATGTAATGAGGCCCTTAATAAACGAGCAGAATTTTGATGGGACATCAGATGAAGAGCATGAACAAGAGCTCCTTCCTGTTCAGAAGCATTACCAGCTTGATGATCAAGAGGGTATTTCGTAAGTGTTACGGGGTTATATGTCTCCTTTTCATTTAGTATATATTTTGTAATCTTCTGTAGGTAAAGCACTTTCCTAGATACTACAGAAGACACACAGATGAGTAAGATATTGTCAAGGTATTTATAGTCCATTTGGGAAAGAAGAAATGCATCCAAAATACAGAGCAGTGTGTGGGAATTCCAGTGATCGTACATGTCCCATGCTATGGATCTTGCAAGAAGGGAGATCTGATTGAAAGGAATAGAAATTTTAAGAGCAGTGGCTTCTGAAATGGCTAGGAGTTAGACGATTGGAGGTAGTAAACATTTCTTTATGCTGAGTGAATGGTATCAAGCAAAGTCGTGGTGGTGGGAAGGCAGTGGAATCTTGTAGAACTGCTTTTGTTATTTTGTCATCATTAATAGATTTGAGTAAGTTTTTACTCTAATAGTAACTTAACAATTAAGCAAAAGTTACATTTTAGTTGATCAGAAAAGAATATTATAAACTAAAAAAAAAAATTTAGGCAAGCATGTTTGTTTCATAAGTTTAAAATTTGGGCTATTCCTAGTTTATTTTTTCTTGGTCAAATGACTTCCTTCAAATGCCTCTTGGAAATTTTGATGAAATTCCTTAGGGAGTACATGATGTCTAAATTAGTATTTATCTTATCTGATGATACACATAGTTTTAAAACTTGTGTGCTTTTTCTTTTAATTAACTTCCTGTTAGGTTGATAATCATAGATCAAATGTGTTTAGTGCCATGATTACATAGACAGTGTCACTAAATTGCTTTGTCTTATCAGCCTAGCTGTATATAACCTTCTACATTATTCTGAGTGTCATAGCTGCCAGGGATCTTATAAGAAAATTACCTTTTCTGTATTTCTTTAATATGTACAAAAATACTTTCAGTTAAATCTCATTTAATCTCCATAATAACCCTCTGTATTCTCCTTTTAAATGGCAAAGGTAGCACGTGAACCAGTATGACCTCTGGCCTATTCAACTTCTGGTTGAGTGGAAATGTTATTTGAGTCCTTGCCGAGATTGATTTTCAGTCCCCATGTGATTTTATTAGCTTTTTTCCTAAAATCTTACACCTTTTACTTTTCAGATTTGTGCAAACTCTTATGCATCTTCTTAAAGGAAATATTGGAACTGGCCTGTTAGGGCTTCCACTGGCAATAAAAAATGCAGGCATAGTGGTAAGACTTATCTTTGTGAACTCTAGTTAAATTACAGTTATCAGTCTTAATTACAGCAAAAATTATAAGCTAACCTCTGGCCTAGTCACATATAACCTGACCAAGTGACAATGAGATTGTACTGATAAGATTATGTGAACACTGATAATTTAATTTAACAAAAATAAGAATTACTCTTTTCATTTCCGTTTAATTACTTAATTTCTGTTTAACTATTTAACTTTCTGTTTAATTACTTTACTTCCAAATACTTGGTAGTATTTGACAGAAAGATCCTAAAATAGTATTCAATTTTTCCAAGTATGGTTATATCTTGTTATTCTTTTCGATTTTCAGGGATATAAGCAATGTACTCATATCAACAAATATATTTATAGAGTAGATTATTTGTATTGGTGAAATTTTATTGTTTTTTAGATTCAGAATAAAATATGTGGTTTTCAGATTTAAAGAGTAAGAGTTAAGAAAAGGAGTAACAATATTGTTTGAAAATAAATGTGCAAAGTGTTGTTGGAACCAGTTATTGTCATTACAGAGAATCTCAGTAAGGGAGAATTCACTTATGAAGTAATGAAATTATATTTAACCTCTTTTATTTTTTTTAATTTTTTAAAAAGATTTTATTTATTTGAGACAGAGTAATTGAGAGGAGAGCACGAGTGAAGGGAGGGGCAGAGGGAGAGGGAGAAGCAGACTCCCTGCTGAGCAGGGAGCCCGACATGGGGCTCCATCCCAGGACCCTGAGATCATGAACCTGAGCCAAAGGCAGATGCTTAACCGACTGAGCCATCTAGGCGCCCCTATTTAACCTTTTATTAGAGATTTAAAGCCTTACCAGTTTTCTAAAAAGAGTTTTAACTGTCATCTTTCTCTGCGTTTGACTTGCTCACCCTAATTTAGAGACCTAAACATTTCTGATTATAAAAATAAATTTTGACAATAATTTGTCTAGGTCTCAACAATCCAGGCATTACTTTAATTTTAGTAAACAAATATTTGAAATTTTTTATGTACCGCTTTTTCAAATAATCTTTTTTTTAGGCATAGTTCCTCACATAGTAAGTGCTCAATAAGCACAATCCCAGATTAGTATCGTGCTCTTTAGTCTTTCAGATAACGATTCATAGTTGCATCTGATTATCACCGTGGGACACTGATAGTCATAGACTTGCCATCCCATGTTAAGTGTGATGTGTTCTCACAGCTCTTCTCTATGTTCATAGGTTTGGCTTAGCAAGCTGATGGGATAGTCATATGTGCTTTTCTTAAGTATTGCTGAAATTCTTTCAGTATCAAGTTTATGAATTTTCCTATATGCAAATGACTAATCATTTTGTCCAACAAAATTGATTCACACAAATGAGTAGTCCATTGTCTCATTGCTTATAAGACAACGTAATTTTTGTTAAACTTAAATATTTAATCCTATACATTTTTCCCCCACAGCTTGGACCAATCAGCCTTGTGTTTATAGGAATTATTTCTGTTCACTGTATGCACATTTTGGTACGCTGCAGTCACTTTCTGTGTCAGAGGTAAATGAGGATTTGTTAAGTGTATTCTATTTATTTTAAAGCTGTGTATTTATTTAAAGCATCAGATAGTCTTAACTGTGCTTTGCAACTAACAATCATATTTCCTCTAATCTGTTATGTAGACAAGTCTAAAATAATGAATATGGGAAAAAATAATATTTCCTGTGATTGAAATCTGGTCAGAATATATTTACTTTTTAAAAAAATATAGCCCTGTTAATGAAATGGAATGCTTTCTTTCCATGTAAATTTAAAAAAATCAAGGAAGACATGGGGGAAATGGAAGCCACAACACTACTTTTAATTATAGAGTGATGGTCTTCAATTTGTTAGGAATTCATTTTAGGGTATGGTGCCTTTGGTGTTCTTTGCTGATATGTGGGTTGGTAAATAGTAAAATAATCTTCTTTATTCTTTGTTTTTTCATGAAATGTTTCTACGGCACAATGGACTATTTAAAAAATAAGTATTGCCTCTTCTAGTAAACTAATAGTCTAATCTTAACTCTTTTTGTTATTGTTGTTAAATGTTCTTAAAACTTTGGGCAAGTCATTTATGATCTTTAAATAACAATGATACTTGAAAAAAAAGTGGGAAAGAGAACAAGGGAAAATAATGCCTATCTCATGAGGCTGAGTATTGGGTAAGATAGTTTATGTGTAAATATGTTGTAAAGCCTGTGTAGATGTATAAAATAATGCCCTTCTAAGAATAAATAATTTAGGCATGAACAATGTAGTTGATGTTTTTTGGTAATTGAAATAGTTACATATTTAAATTAGTGAAGCACAAATATTACATTATATAACTTCTACAAATATGTAAGCTTTAACAGCAGATAAAAACTAATACATTGGTAAAAATAGCAGATTTAAAATTTCATGAGACATAGAGCATGCAGATCTTGAAATTTCAAAAACTCTTCTGTTGGTGCATAGCCTTGCATTTATTAATTCCTATTTATTTGATATTCTTTTCAAGGGTTGGATTTATGGACCAACTTCAAATTTTCCTTTTTCATATGCATGTATGTCCTTAAATTACAGGTTTAAAAAGTCAACATTAGGTTATAGTGACACTGTGAGTTTTGCTATGGAAGTAAGTCCTTGGAGCTGTCTTCAGAAGCAAGCAGCATGGGGACGGTAAGCACTTGCTGTGTTATTAATATCTGGCTACAGAAATCATATTACTTTTTAAGTATTTTAATTTGACAAGATACATGAATAGAAGTATGATAAAGCTGGGGGAATAAACATAATCTTTAGAGTTACACAGACTTGGGTTCAAATCTCAACTCTACCATTTTTCAGTTTTATGACCTGAGTCAATTGATTTATCATTTGGTTTTAGTTTTCTCACCATCAGATGAGTTTATGGTGATACTTCACAGGATTATTACAGTAGTTTAAATAAAATGATATTTATAAAGCATCTGGCTAACCTATGACATAATCATGTTACTATGTTTTTAAGGAAAGGAGAAAAAGCAAGCAAAATGTTGCCATCTCATTATTTTAGATAAAATTGTGGTGTTTAGCTACATGCTCATAGGATACATGAAGTGTGTATTTTAGCACAATAGTAATTTTACTATCTTATTGTTTAAATGTAACTTTATCATTGGTAGACATGGCAGATCAAAGCCAGATGAATACAGGACTGGAAAAATAAGCATAGGTAGTCAACAAAATGCTCACTATGGTACAAGTGATATGTGCAATGGAAATTAAAGGAAGACAAAAAACAGTGCTAGTAGAGTTTATGGTTAAATATGGCCTTCCTGGGGATTTGTAGGAAGTTAGATTTGTTTATGAGCTGCTCAGAGCTCTTGATATGCCATGTAGAAGAAGGAAGAAAACAGCCTAATGCTCAAAGATTTGCCCCAGAACCCTATCTTCTTCCTTCTTCTGCCCCAGAGTAGAGGCAGCTTTGTCTCTAGAATGACTTGCAGGTAGATGTGGCTGAAGTGATTGTTGGTAGGATACTAAAATCCAAGGTGGATGAAAAGATCCTAAGGGAATACTTAAATATAATTCATCAGAGAGAAGAAACTTGAATTCATTGCAGGGTACCAAGATTATTTACAAGGGAGATCCCTGAAGAACTATGAGAGCTATAGTTATGACAAGAATGAAGATAGGCACAGGCCCTTCCAATTTCAAATGAGAGAAGGGAGGTGTGTAGATTTGTAGACCACGTTGTTTGATAGCTTGACATCAATGGTCAAATAAAGACTATAAAGAATTAGTAGGTGCATGCTGTTGTAATCACTCATTGTTGTCCAAACAAAATAGAGAAATATAGGCTGCATATTAATAACATGTAGACATATTTATAACTTGATACCCAAACTATGCTAATTTGACTGGTGACATCCCCTTTCCCCCTCTGTACACTATTTTATGTAGCTAGAATTTTCTTAAGTATCTCATTAAACAATAAGAACAGAGCTAAGTTACTGGAGGGGTCTTTGGTGTTATGATTTAGGGCTATGCCCCCAGTCCTCTCCCATCTCATGTTCGTATTAGTGATTTGGATAGTGGATAGCATGCTCATTCCTCATATTTCCAAATGACAGGAAGCCAGGAGGGCCAGAAAATACACTGGGTTAATCAGAAAAAGATCTTGAGAAGTAGGAGAGATGGGCCTAATCTAAAAGTTGAAATGTTTTCATGATATCATTTTATAAGCAGATACTCAGACTGTTGAATTTCAGAAATAAGTGATAGAGAAATTTTGGCCTTTTAACTTAATGGAACATCTTTTTGCTCAGACATACTGATCACAAATGTGTGCTGTTTGTAGAAAATTCATATTTTGTTTATTTCTTATTTTAAGGAAGTGAAAAGAATATAAGCTATAATTAAATGTTTTAAAATAGTTTAAAAAGAGAAAAATATATTGATATATCAACAGCTCTTATTGATACTTATTTGTGGGTATCTCTTTTCAGGACTGTGGTTGACTTTTTTCTGGTGATAACACAGCTGGGATTCTGTAGTGTTTATATTGTCTTCTTAGCTGAAAATGTAAAACAAGTAAGTATTTTTCTCCAGTTATTGAGGTCAGTTTCTTCCACGTCCATAGTTATGGCATCGTATCTCCTCTGAGTAAGCCATGGTTGAACATGGAAATGTGTTCCTTTCATAAAACATGTTACTTTGTAAATTTTCCTTTAGTCTTCTTTTTTGTAAGTTGGATTTTCCACTACTGTTGTTGATTTTACTTTTCTTGCCATTATATATCAATAATGTTTGTTCTGTCAGATCTGAACTGGACAAAATTTAACTGACTCTTAGATACTTGAAATTTAGGTCTCAAAGCAGAAACACAGATGTTTGGGGAGCATATTTTTAAATTGATTTTTCATAAATAAATATATAAGGCTTTAGCCAGCAACCTAAAAAGTGAAGTAAAAAGTGGGTATTACTAAAATCCAGTAACTATTGCTATTGCCTAAAAGATACTGTGTCCAAAATGTGTGGTATTCTGTAATTCTCTCCATCCTTTTAGGGTTTGCTTTAAAAGGAAGTGGTTTGCAGTCTTGGTAGAGACTGTCAATTTGAACAAACATGCAAAGCACTGAAATAAAAAAGCTCCCCTATCAAAACAATGCCAAAACACATTTCTGTATGCGCTCTAGCTTGTAACTAGTACATTCACCCTGTTCTTCTTTAATCATTATTTTAATCAATAACCTTTATTAACTATGCACATGTGCATTGTGCAATAGTAGCATTTTACATAGTAATATATAGTACTTGTAGGTATTTTAATGCAAAATGATGATGTGAATATGTTTTCTAAAGAATCTGTAGATATGTAAGTATATATTTGGCTCACTTTTTCAAGTATAAAGTATGCTTCATTTACATTTAGACCAGGAATGGCAAACTTTTTCTGGAAAGGGCCAGATAATAAATATTTTCAGTTTTGCAGGCCATATGGTCTTCTCAACTTAGCCATAGACAATAATATATAAACATATATGGTAATATCCCAATAAAGTTATATTTGCAAAATTAAGTGGTAGGCTGGATTTGGTGTATGGGCCATAATTTGCTAAAGCGCCTAGCTTAGATTTTTAATGTTGGAAAGGCTCATTGAGTCAACCCTTCTTTTTAAATAAGAGAGTTGATGCTTTCATTAGCATTGCTCATTATAGATGATGTGCTTTTGATTTACAAGTATTTAATTCCACAAGTTGCACATTCTTTGGACTATTAACTCAGTCAAGAGGCTATCTGTTGTTAAGAACTGATAAGACACACCACTTTACCAGTCATTTACATAGAAGACAGTGGAAATTATCCTTTTTTAGGATTGTACAGCTTGGTAGTAATGTATCTTTTCTAATATCTCCTAAGAGAGCTACCAAAAAGCTTGATTTGAATTTATGGATAATGCTAATAATGCCTTACAATGTTACATTAATAAAGTATAACATTTTTCATTTAGTCTTTACAACTTATCTGTAATGTACAATGCTCATTTTTTGAATGTGTAAATTGACTCTCACAAAGCATGAGCAGTGTGCCCTAAGTTATGTGAATTAAGCTGAGACCTATAGGTCTGTGACCCAGCTGCCACCCAGTATATTAACTGCTCATCGTTGGACAGGATCTTGTCTGATTTTAGCTGTGTGTGTGCATATGATGTAATAGATGTCTATAAGCTTAGGGTTGGTGACTTTCTCCTGCAAAATGTTATCGGTTGCTTCCAAAGTAGATTGGAAGAATGTAACTAATTTGCACATATTCTAAGAAGACCAGGTAGAAAAAGTGACTTTCTGGGAAGTAAGGAGAATGCCTGCTGTAGATAGAAGGACAAAAATCCTTTTGAAGTATAAAAAGCAACATGGAAAAAGATACTCAGACTTGAGAAAAGTTAAAAGCAATAGTGAGCACCTCGCCTCGGCAGAGCAGGCAGATGGTCACTGAAACAGCAGTGTGAGAGATGTTCACTGCCACATTTTAGAGCAGACTCCAGTAGTAGACACACCGCTTGATTATGCCTTACCAATTACTGCTACTGTTAGAGTTAAAAACTCTAAGTTTATTACCGCATTAATCTACATAAAATCAAAGGTGCAATATTTTATCAAATCAAAGAAGTCAGAGTTTAGTTGCCATACAGATGTGTGAACCTCTTGCTCTGTAACTGCCACAGGGCTGTTCTTGGTCCCATTAGGTCATTGTGAGCATTAGGCAGGGGGAAAGGGATGGGTAGTGCCTCCAAGGATTCTCGCCCATCGTGGTTATAGTAGCTCCTCTCTGTTCTTACCCAAAGATACTCTAGAAAATTTCAGGTGGATAAAATAGTATATATGGGCATGAAGAGTGGGGAAGGAATATTACATTAACAGAAAAAAATATATGAGATACCTAAGACCATGGACGTTAGAGACAGAAGATCCAAATTCAAATCCCCACTCTCTCCATTTTAAATCACACATTGGACAAGATCTCCTGGTCCCTGGTCAAGCCTCAGTTTCCTTATTTGTAAAATGGGAATAGCAACAAAATCTCCCATTGTTCCTCCTAAACTTATCCTGAGGCTCAGCTGACAAGAGGTTTGTGAAAGCCTTTGCAAAATGTAAAGTAATATACAAATATAGGGTGTTAAAGACTTTAATTCTGCATTTATTTTAAAAGTTTTGCTGAAGAACATAATCTACCTTTGGAATTTTAACCATTAGATTACTGAATCATTGAAAACTAATAAGTAGTAGATGTTAGTAAATTTAAGCTTTAAATGGAAACAACTGAATTTAGTAATTTTATTTTATAATATTTATTTCAGTGTTTTGCATTTTGGTAAACATGTGAGATCATAGGAAGTCCTATTAGATAGCCAATATCTGTCTCTAGAGGGCACCAAAGGACTCAAATGTTTACCTGAATCTTGCTCTGGGTATGTATCTACACTTTATTTTATTTTTTAATCCTGATAATTTTTATAACCATCTTTCTGCCAAAGAATACTAAATTATTATAAGATATTTGTGAAAGAATTAATTTCATATTCCCAACCATCTCACCATTCAAACTACCCTTTTTAAAATTGGTTATGTAACTGATTTTCTCTTGCCAGGTATCCTTGTTAGAGCTTAATTTTGATTATTACCTAATGTGCTTATTGGCAGTACTTCTTGGATACAGAAGCATTTGGCTATAAATAATTTTGTAGCTGGGAAAATTGAGTCAACAAAAAATATATACTTTTAAAAACCAAGTAATGTGAATTACCAATCTTGCTTCTATTTCAAGTTATAGAATATGAAATATAAAGTTTTGATGAGCAGTTACAAGTAAACGTGAGGTATGCATTTCTTAAATGGTTCATGGTGTAACCTGAGAGTTTGTTAGTCCAGTATGAGTTACAAGTTGCCTATCTAGCTTAAAACTAGCAGATATATTCCCTACAGTTTAAGATGATGTGTACATTTGTAGTGACACTAAACATTGCTTATCATAAATTGTAAGTATAAAATTAAAAGGAACAACTTGAATTATTAATCATACTATAATTTTGTTCTAAACTTCTGACTTGTGGGCCTCCTAATACTTAGTGTATTTAGAAAGAGAGATGTCAGAGTAAAGGCCAGGCTGCTACTTGGGCAGGGCCCCCTCCCAGATTGGAGTATTTGGTCAAGTTAGAGCATGCAGCTGTCGCAAGCTGAATTCTAGTTTCATGCCTGGGCTGGAATCTTAGAACTACCACTTACTGATTTGATATTATGTAAGTTTTTTTAACCCTCCCTAATCCTCAGTTTTCTCAACCATAAATTAAAATTAATACTACCACCGACCTCAGGGAGTTGTTTTGAGGATGAGATGAGATGTTGTGTATCATGTATTTAGTTCAGTCTTCAAGAAATGCTTCCTATTGTTACTATAGGGTCTGGTTCTTAAGAATTGATGTATTCAGAGACTTGATCATGTTATTGTGTTCAATGGAGGGCTACAGTGTTTGGGGGCAAATAGATTTTCACTAGTATTTAAATTATAATATTCTCTGCCTCTGCTGTGAATTTTTAAAAATGTTTTTAAAATCCTCTATAATTTCATTTCTATTTTAGTAAGTTGGATTATGTGATTAATTGAATAAAGACAATTTTTAATCTATGGAACCTATGAATTATTGTATCTCTCTTGAACACTGAATGTTGGTTTATAGAAGTGGCTGAATAAATTTTAAGGTAAAACTGATTTATTGAAGTTTTTTGCTCTAGCAAAAATGTATCTACATCTACCACATGGTCATGAATGAATTTAGTGGATTCTTAATAAGTATTGATAGTGATGATAATTTATAAACAGTTTTCAAAAACAGTTTTAAAGCTAGACTGTGATTTCTAAACTTTGTTTTGACAACTGTACATTTCTAAGGTGTACTTAGAGTTGTTTCCTCCTCTGAAGAAAATAAGTCAGAGTAGGATATCCAGAGTAGAATATGGTCGTCCGCGACAAGTATGCCTCCACTTTTGATGATCTCAAAAACAAATTGAACCTTTGCAGGGATCACGAGCACAAAGCTTCAAAATAAATTAGTAAATTCATCCTCATAATTTTCTAGTGAACTTTCTTTTTACAGTATGATAAAAGAAGTTATTTTGCAAAGAAGATTATCCTATTTTAATTATCCTTAAATTTGATAAATATATATTTCTAGGAAGCTAGACTATCTTGAAAAAATGTAAATATTTGATTTATTGTAAAGGAATTTATCATAGAGTGTATAGATAATAAATTTCTTTATATTTTTTTATTTATAAGTTGATGGAAGTTTTCTTTTTCCCCCTCTTTCTTATTCTCCTGGTAATCCTATATAGGTTCATGAAGGATTCCTGGAGAGTAAAGTGTTTCTTTTGAATAGTACCAATTCATCAAACCCTTGTGAGAGAAGAAGTATTGACCTAAGGATATATATGCTTTGCTTTCTTCCATTCATAATTCTTTTGGTCTTCATTCGTGAGCTAAAGAATCTATTTGTGCTTTCATTCCTTGCCAACATTTCCATGGCTGTCAGCCTTGTGATAATTTATCAGTATGTCATTAGGGTAAGTATAATGTGTTTTTAACTGAGTGTCATGTGTTTCTTAATAAGTAAATTATTTGTTTACTTTGGAGGTAAAAGTAATGGCATATAAAGACCCCTACTTCATTATGTGGCACACAGGAGATAATCAGTCAGCCTTGGTCTCCTTTTGGGGGATACCGATCAGCTGGAAAGGTGTGTGACATAGAGCACAGGCTTTGTATTCAGTCTGGTTTTAAATCTTGGTAAATATGCTTCTGGGCTTTATGACACTGCTGCAGAAGAGCGTAAAACCTACCCTAGTAAGCTGTGATTTAGGATCATGCCTCAGCACACTGTATAACATGAAACAAAGACCTCATTAGTGTTTTGTTTACTCTTTTAAGATTTGAACCAGTCTCCAGATGGGAGGATAGATATAATTTTATAATTTTCTTTTACTTCTGAACCTTTATTTTTCCACCACCTCAGTTCACTGCCGCTATCCTAGTCCATAACCTCTTTACTGGAAGCATGCGACCTTGACTGATTTCGTTGTCCATTGTCTGGGGAGCCTAATAAAAGAAGTATTCCTAAAAAAAAAAAAAAAAAAATTGATTGATGGGATTCAGGGGATCTGCAAATCCATTAAAAATATTTGCAAGATTTAATGTTTCTGTATGTGTATATGCATTCTTCTACTGAGCAGTGTATAGCTTTCATTTCTCAAAGGGGCCAATGACTCAGAAAAGGTCAAGCATCCCTGTTCTATTCTTTTCTGATCCAGTCCATTTTATATATTATTGCTGCAATTGTTCTAAAATCTCCACTGGCAATTTATTACAAACTCCGTTGCATACCCGCCCCCCGAATTCCATTTTCTTATTGCACGTAAGAGTGGAAGGAGACAGGCAGGAAGGTCTCATAAGACTTTCTGTAGTTCATGACCCCTTAGCTGAACATGTCAGAGTTAGTGGAGCAGAAAAGGCAGTTCCTTAGGTAGAGGGAACAGTGTGAGTCTTGACTAACAGTTAGTGTTATCAAATGACTCAAACACTTACTACCCTTTTCATTTTGACCATAGCTGTGTTTTCCATCATGTATCACCATTATATCACACAAATCTCCCTGTGCTTCAGATGTTCTAGACCTCTCTATTTCCCAGATTATCCATATGCTTTCACATTTCAGTTTCTTTTTTCATCCTCTTTCCTTGGCCTTGAATTCCACTTCCATTTAGGTAAGGCAGAGAACACAGGATGGTGCGCAGAGTGGGAACCAGTCTCGGGGTGGCTGGAAGAGGTAGCCATCATGGAACCAGAGATCTTGAACAAGATGTGCATTTGTGAGTTTCCAGATAGTGAAAGTTGGAACAAGGCTATGTGTCAAGACCTAATAATCAAAGCCAGAATCAAGGAATATGTACAAATAATAAGGGTAATAGTAACTGTCTAGGTAAAGAGTTAGACACTGGGGGCGCCTGGGTGGCTCAGTCGTTAAACATCTGCCTTCGGCTCAGGTCATGATCCCAGGGTTCTGGGATCGAGCCCTGCACCGAGCTCCCTGCTCAGCAGGAAGCCTGCTTCTCCCTCTCCCACTCCCCCTGCTTGTGTTCCTGCTCTTGCTGTCTCTCTCTCTGTCAAATAAATAAGTAAAATCTTTAAAAAAAAAAAAAAAAGAGTAAGACACTGAGACCAGGAGGAGACCTGTACTAGGAAGCAGCAGAGTTATGAGGTAAAAAGCCAAAGTCAGAAACCAGGTACCTTGGAGACTGAAAGAGCAATGAAAACAGAGTAGAAAATGGATTTCACTGTACACCATGCAGTGGTTGATACTATGGCTCTCAGCTCAGATTGAGTATGCTTATGTATTTCCTGTTGTGCCAGGAGCCATACCCAGAGTGAACAGCCCGGGACTTGAAGGTGGAAGCAGGTAATCAGGAGCATTTAGCCCAGATGGAATGTGCGGGCACAAGGAAACAGTGGCTTTTGGCAGTGAAGTCCTAACAGCTTGGCTACATTTAACATAGGATGCTTAAAGTGTATTTATTTACTGTCTACTTATTGAAAGAATTATTCACTTTTATAACACACATTTGCTGTTGTGAAACTCAGAAGTATATGATTTTGCTCTTTATTTTAAATTCTTTAAAATAACTTCTTTTATTTTTTCTCTCCTTCTCCAGAATATGCCAGATCCCCACAACCTTCCAATAGTGGCTGGTTGGAAAAAATACCCACTCTTTTTTGGTACTGCTGTGTTTGCTTTTGAAGGCATAGGAGTGGTAAGGATTTACTCTTTATTATTATTTTAAAAATTTTTAAGTCAACACAAAGATTTATGTAGTCAAACTACATTTAAAAATGCATTTTTCTTTTTTGTTGCCATTTTCTTCATTGACAGAACACCATTTGTAGTTTTGTAGGTTAGACTTGAATTATAGCTTAGTTTATATGATTTTTAACATTTTATTATGGAAATTTTCAAACCTAAGACAAAATCTAGAGAATAGCATGATGAACTCTTGTGTAAGCATCACCCAGCTTCAAAAATTGACTCATGGCCAGTTTTGATTTATCTGTATTCCATCTACTCTGCCAAGCCCAGGTTACATTCAGACAGATCCCAAACATCATATTTTATAGACTAGATGATTTGAAGTGAATTGAAATTGTTACAAACTTATTATTACATAGAAGAATCAAATATAAATTCTCCCCTTAGATTTATACATATAGATTTATACATATATTTGTTTTGAGAAATGATGTTATCATAAAGCTAATACCAAGAAATACAAGCACCCTGAGGATTCTAAGATCTTAAATATTTCCATTTAAGACGCTTCCAGTTTATTTAAAGCCTGGAATGTGTAGATTTGGGGAAAACAGAATATCACTGGCTGCTCTGTAGCTTATGTTTCATTGTCTGTTGGTTTGGTATGGGACGGAAACCACTTAAACATAGCTATATGAACCACAGATGAAATAAGACCTCAAAGACAATTTTATACTATTTTACTTGACTAACAGTTAGTGTTCATTCTCTCTGAATGAATTCAGCATTCAGCATTCTCTCTGAATTCTCCTTTAGAGAATTCTCACAAATTCTTACAGTTCCATTTATTAAACAGTTACAGACATAACTGCAGATTTTCATTTCTGTCTTTAACCAGTAAGTTCTAGTTAACTATTGGACATTTCCAGTTAAGTTGTTCCTCTAACATCTCAAGTTCAACAGCTCCGAGTCTGACATAGACTTTCTTAATCCAAAACCAGCTTCACTTTCTCATTTCCCTGTTTCTTTTAGTTTTATTTTCAGTTGCTCAAGCTTGAAACAGTGGAGCATTTCCTTTCACTCTGTCCCTGGTTACCCTATTCCATTGGTAATTAAGGCATGTTTATTTTTCTTTCATATTTCCCCATAAATGAAATTACATTTAAAACACCCACAGTGTTGCTAACCCCAGAGAGAGCCTACATAAATGTGAATTTCCTTCCTTTCCTCTTTTTCTAGCTGCACTGGCACCATTCTTAACCATAGCCTCTTATTTCAGGTCTGGATTATCTCCAGAACATCAGATGGTTCTCCCTTCTATTAACCAGTTAATATTTCCATATGGACCTGACTTACCTAAAAAGTAGAGCTATTACTGGAGTTATTGTCACATAGGGTTATTGTGAGGACTAAGTGAGATGCTGCCTACAAAGCATCTAGAATAATACCTGGCAGGGGGTGGTCCAAGATGGCAGTAGGGGAAGATCCTGAACACCCCTTCTCCCCTGGACACACTACAGCTACAGCTGCATATGGAATAATTGCCTCTGGGCAGGAGCTGAAAACTAGCTGAACAGCTGCTCCACAACAAAGAACAAAAGGGCCGCCTCAAGACAGACAGGAGAGACAGAGATGTGGGCTCACCAAAAACTCTACCCCTGGTGCAGCAACCCAATATAGGCAGGCATCTTACAAGCCCAGAGCCTTTCCCTGAGGAGCACGGGGTTTGTGCTCCACAGCAGGCAGCCCAGCCCTTGAGACCTGCACTGGAGAGACAAGCCCCCAATGGGGCTTACATCCATAGGACCCAAAGGGCTGCTGGGATTTGAGAAACTCCTTTTAAAGGAGTTGCATGTGGACTCACCTGCCCCAGAACCTAGCATAGAAGCTGCAGTTTGAAAGGTGCCTAGACTCTATGTGAAGGAGATTCATTTGCTAATCTTATAGCATCTGCTGGAGGGGTGGGGACAAGTTGGGACTTTGTCCAGGGATGGAGGCACTGGTGAGCACCATATCTGTAGTCCCCCTCTGTGATGCTAGTACAGGTGGACACTCACAAACACAGCAGTCTCCCAATGCCTTGCTAACACTGGTGGGCGTGCCCGGCCCCCAGTGTTCTTCCCCTGCCTTACTAAAGCTGTGGGCAAGTGTAGTCCACACAGGGGTGCCCCTTGATCACCTGGCCCTCGTTGCTAGGGGGGTTTGTGTTCCAGGGCCCCATAGGACTTTAACAATGGAAATGACAGTTCTTGGCAGCATGCCACGCTGAGGGCACTGCACAGACAACAGACTGAAATGCACCCCAAGTCAGCCAGTGAAAAAGGCCTATTTACGGTGCTGAAGCTTCAACCCAAGGGACAGGCTTCAGGTTTGCCACATATCTCAAGGCTACAGAAGCGCTCTCAGGGAATGTAAACAGGGAAATACCATCTCGTGCCCTCCTTTGGTCTTGTTACAGCTTGCTGGTACCTCCCAGAAAGGGGCTTATACAGTTATCTGAAACCTTGACTTTTACAACTGTTCCCCCAGGGGACCCTCCACATCTCCTGGTCTAGAGGCCAGCAGGGTTTACAATTACGGTCCCATAGGACTGTGAATTTCTATACTTTAAAAGCTGCTGCCTGAGGATCTGACTTCCAGTCATCCTGAAACTTGTTACCACCTGAGATCCCTACATTGGAACACTGGCAGCTCTTGGCACACCTCAACAACTGAAATTTATCAAGAATAAATCAGGTTACTTAGATAATCACAAAGGTCCAAGAGACAACCAAGAGCTAGGGCAAGGTTGAATGATAGAGTTCATCTTCTATACAAGGTCACTCCTTCAAGACTGGGAAATGTAGCTGTTTCAGCTAATACATAGAAACAAATACACAGAGTCAAGAAAAATGAGGTGCAGGAATATGTTCCAAATGAAGGAACAAGACAAAACTTCAGAAAAAGACCTTAGTGAAATGGAGATAAGTAATCTACCTGATAAAGAATTCAAAGTCATGGTCATAAAGATGCTCCTGGAACTTGGGAGAAGAATGGATATTCTTCAACAAAGCAAAAGAAAAATATAAGTACCAAACAGAAGTTGTAAAGCTGAAGAATACAATTACTGAACTGAAAAATATACTAGAGGGGTTCAGAAGCAGACCAGATGAAGCAGAAGAACTGAACAGTGACCTCAAAGACAGGGCAGTGGAACTCACGCAAACAGAACAGCAAAAAGAAAAGAAGAATTTGACACCAGGCAGAGGTAGCATTTGCATTATAGGGATTGTAGAAGGAGGAGAGAGAAAAAGAGGCATAAAATAATAAAGAAATAATGGCTGGAAAATTCCCTAACCTGGGGAAGGAAACAGACATCCAGGTCCACAGATAGTTCCAAATAAGATGAACCCAAAGAGATCCACACAGAGATACATAACTAAAATGTCAAAAGTTAAAGAGGAAATCTTATATGCAATAAGAGAAAAACAACTTGTTTCATACAAGGGAACCCCCATGAGGCTGTTAGCTGATTTTTTACCAGAAAAATCAGAAGGGTATAGCATGATATATTCAGGTACTGAAAGGAAAAAAAACTTCAACCAAGAATACTCTACTTGGCAAGATTATCATTTGGAATTGAAGGAGCACTTAACCTGAATAAGAGTGCAGGCATGGGCATCCTTGACTTGTGCCTGACCATAGAGGAAAAGCTCTCAACTTTTCATTGTTGAGTTGATGCTAGCTGTGGGCCTGTCATATATGGCCTTTATTATGTTGAGAAATGTTCCCTGTATACACACTTCATTGAGTGTTTTTATCATGAACAGATACTGAATTTTGTAAGTGCTTTTTCTGCGTCTATGGAGATGATCATATGATTTTTATTTTTATTCTTCATTTTGTTAATTTGGTGTATGATGTTAATTCATTTGTAGATGCTGAACCATTCTTGCATCCCTGGAATAAATCCTTCTTGATCATGATATATGATCCTTTTAATGTATTGTTGAATTTGGTTTGATATATGATCCTTTTAATGTATTGTTGAATTTGGTTTGCTAATATTTTGTTGAGGATTTTTGCATCTATGTTCATCAGGAATATTGCTTACAATTTCCTTCCTTTCTTCCTACGTTCCTTCCTTCCCTTCTCTTCTTCTTCTTCTTCCTCTTCCTCTTCTTCTTCTTCCTCTTCTTTCTTCTTTCTTCTTCTTCTTCTTTCCTCTTCTTTCTTCTTCTTTGTGTCCTTGTCAGTTTTGCTATCAGGGTAATGCTGGCATAGTAAATGAATTTGGAAATATTCCCTCCTCTTCAGTTTTCTTGAAGTATCTGAAAAGGATAGGTATTTAAATATTATTTGAATGTTTGGTAGAATTTGCTTGTGAAGTCATCTGGTCCTGGACTTTTGTTTGTTAGAAGTTTTTTAATTACTGATTTAATCTCCTTACTAGTAATCTTTCTGTTCGGATTTTCTAGTTCTTCATGATTCAGTCTTGGAAGATTGTGTATTTTAAGGAATTTATCCATCTCTTCCAGTTTCCTCAATTTTTTGTCATATAATTGTCCATAGTAGTCTCTTATGAACCTTTGTATTTCTGTAGTATCAGTAGTAACATCTCTTTCATTTCTGATTTTATTTATTTGAGCCCTCTCGCCTTTTTAGTTGGTATGTCTAGCTAAAGGTTTGCCAATTTTGCCTGGCAACTATAGGCAATAATATTTTATTGCATATTTGAAAGTTGCCAAGAGAGTAATTCTTTAAAGTTCTCATTACAGAAAAAAAAATTGTAATTTTGTATGGTGATGGATAGTAACTAGACTTATTGTGGTGATCATTTTGCAGTGTATACAAATATCAAACTCTTATGTTTACAACTGAAACTAATGTTATATGCCAATTTTATCTTCATTAAAAAAATACCTGGCACGTTGTAAGTACTCAGTAAATACTTGCTGTTATTATTTCTTAGTATCTTTTACTGTATGGTCAAATCATATGGCCAAAACCTCTGAAGATTTGCCTTAAAAAACTTAACTCTTCAATTAGCCTTTTTTTCTTTTCTTTCAAGATTTTTTTTGTATAATAAAAATAACTTTTTCATCTCACTAAATTGACAGACAGCAGATACAAATGGCTAGATATAGAAGCAATCACAGACATGAATATACATGGGTTAGTGTGTATACACGTATTTCTTATCACTTCAGCTGAGAGATACATAGTAGCTACAGGCACACCCAGCACCCAGATCTTGACTTCTAAATACCATTCTACAACAAAAGAACCAAAGTTCTTTGGAGAAAGGTCTGATTCTAGGGCTGAAACAAGGACATTCAAGATGAGTCTGGAGCATCTTGTAGTGATAGAAAGTATGGAAATACTAAAACAAAACAAAACAAAAGAACGGAGGCATGCAAAGGAATATAGGAAGCAACCTGATGGAATTCACAATGACCAAAGCTGGAACAATATGAGCAACAAAATAAATGTTTTGGGTTCATATTCACAGTATAAAACAAATATATATGAATGCATACTAATATAAATAAATGGTTAAATAAATACATACATAGGGATTCCCAAATAATTTATGTAGATACTTCCCCTCCAGGAGGTATGGCTTAATCTCCCCAGTCCCTGGACTATGGGCTACATTTAGTGACTTGGCTTCCAATGAACAGAATATGATGAGAAAGAAGAAAAGACCTTTATAATCAGAGAAACCTGGCAAACACAGCCTTAAACCAAGTGATCAAAGTTAATTTCACCAGTGACAAATCATGTTGATAGCATTTGTGATGAGAAGGGCATTTCACCTCTATGGTCTCTTGTTCTAAAATCTATAATCCCAGTGTACAGACAGCAGACAACATCAGACAGACCCCAGCAGAGAGACATTATACCAAATACCTAACCAGTGCTCCTTAAAACTGTCAAGATAATGAACAATGAGGAAGGATTGCAGAACCATCACAGATCAGAGAAGACCAAGGAGATAATGGTGACAAAATGCAGTGTGGCATCCTGGAAGGGACCTTGGAACAGAAAAAGAACATTAGTAGAAAAACTAGTGAAATCCAAATAAAATATGGAGTTTAATAGTAATGAACCAATGTTGGTTCTTAGTTGTAACAAATGTACTTTGGTAGTTTAAAATGTTAACAATAGGACAAACTGGTTAGGGGTATATGGGAGTTTTCTGTTTATCTTTGCAACTTTTCTGTAAATCTAAAATTATTCCAAATTAAAAAGTTTATTTTAAAAAATCTGACAGATTTCCCTGCTAAGAGCTAATTTCAGATCTTTTTATTTTAAGGATTTGAAAATCTGTAGTGTAAAAAATATATATAGCACCAAGAAAAATATTCAGCAGTTATGTGTTATTTTAAAGGAAATAAAATGTGCATATAAACTATAGAAAGCATAATTTGCATATATATAAGATGGGATACTAGATTGTTTTAAATTACTTGTATTTCCTGCATTCTCTTCTTAGGTTCTTCCACTGGAAAATCAAATGAAAGAATCAAAACGTTTCCCTCAAGCATTGAATATTGGCATGGGAATTGTTACAACCTTGTATGTAACATTAGCTACCTTAGGATATATGTGTTTCCGTGATGAAATCAAAGGCAGCATAACTTTAAATCTTCCCCAGGATGTATGGTAGGTAGATATGAGTTTTGTTAATCCTAGTTTGTATACTTTATAGATATAGCTTACCAATATTTGGTGATAAAGGTGTATTTTTGGATTTGTGGCTTAAACATTTAAAAATTTTATTGACTTATTTGTGTAACCTAGAATTTTTTCATAATCTTCAGAGGAGACCGTCTATGATTTTACACATTTGCTTGGGATTCGATTCTTTAAAAAGATTAAAAATTGTAGCAAATTCCAAATTTGAGTAAAATATAAAAGTAAAATACGGATTCTTTTACTATGGACTCGCTGTAATAAAAAATGTAATACTTATACTTGCTGCCAAAAAACCCAACACTCTGGATTCCTGATAAAATAATAAAACCCATCACTTATGACCCTCACTATTTTACTGATCAGCCTTAATATGGTTTGTACCCTAGATCCTTTTGGAACACAGATAGGACACATTATTAAAAAATAATATGGTGCATCTTAATATTCTCTTAATATTAGAACCATATTCTGCAAAATGAAGCAATACAGAGGGTTTTTTCCTTCTTCCAGAGATTGGTCTCTGGAGATTTTTTAAAAAGTATTGGCAGCAATTACCATGTAGACGTGCTCCCTTATTTATAAAATGGAAAGTGACTCCTTAGTTTTGACAAATACAAAGAATAAATGTTAAATTGCTCATTTAATTGATGTCCCACTGCTCGCTGAGCTGCTTGGATAGAAGTCTGTGAAATCTGAGATGTTTTTAAATATTACGTGTTCTGACTGGCTTCCTATTGGTAGCTTGGGAGTTTGTCTACCTCTCAGTAGTCATCTGAACCCTGGGTTTTTATTGGAGTCGAAAATGCTGTAAGAACAAATGCATATAGGTGATAGAATGTACCAGAATAATTTCCAGGTTGCACAAGGAGCAAACATGTAGTGTGTTCATTTTTTTTAAATTATAATTCTACTTTAGCTATGACACATTTTATAAATGTATTTCATGGTGGAAACATGTCAAATGATATACCTTCATTTCAGACTAGAGACATGATCACAAACAAGATATATAACTTTAAACACTTATTTCATTAACTTATGTTATAGTTATTTTTATAATTTTGTTTCTTCCAAATATGCCTCTTTTTGTAATAGTTTAATACAGGCTAGAAGCTTAAACAGCTTAATATAAGAGATGATCAAGGCTAAAAATTATGTAGCATAATTCTTTTTTTTCAAATACTATATAATATCTAGAAAATAGGATTTTCCCCACTTAGAATAATATTTAGAATAAATCTGAAGAATAATTTTATAAATAAAATTGACAAGTACTTTTAATAAGTCAAATATAAAATGTAAGTGGAAATAATCTCAGAATTCTTCCCTACTCTTCTTCACAGAAGTGTTTAAAGAGAGAAGGGATCAAAGGGGGAGTATGCATGCATGTCAAGTTAAGATGTTCCTATTCCCAGAGAGTCAAGAGCATGGCGAAGAACAGTGGGAGAGACAAGCAGGGAATGCTTTTGGTGTTCACAACTGAGTCTCGAGGGAGCCCTGCTGCCCCTGCGGTAGCTCTGTGTAATCCTTGCCTTTTTCCGCACCCCTTTCCTGCCTCTCACTTTATCCCTCGTACGGCTTTACACTTAGAACTAGTTGCAAAGTCTTGATTAAAAAGGGACCATCACATCCTTGTCTCTGTTCAAGAAAGCCCAGCTAGTCACCTGCTTTTCATTTAGAGGAAAGGATAGTACACGTATCCTAAGAAACAAAAATCTGGAATAAAACGGAAAGCAAGTCAAGATACATAATTCTCTTTCAGAGAACTTGTGTTGGCTAATTCCTTTTCCTTGTGGAGATAAGCCTTCTGTGGCCCGCTGTCCATTTCTTTATGGTCTCTGCCTCTGGGATGGTTAAAATAACAGCCATGACAGGAATACTGCAGAGGAGATGCTTGTCTTTATATAGCGATAGTCTTCTGTAAAATGAGAAGTTTGGACCGGAATGATCATAGGCTTGTATCTAAACTTTCTTTCTTGATGTACTATGTATGAGTCTCTTCTTCCTTTCCCTCCCTGTGCTTCAGGCAATAGGTCCAGGAAGTCAGAGAACGTGCAGTGTACTGGTTATTGTTGGTATAAAAGCCGATGGCTGTCACAGGAGCCAAGGGGGCTCATAGCTGCTAGTGATGGGAAGCTGTAAAGGGCTTTTGATGCCATGTGACTTACGTTCTCAGAATTCAGAACGGGTAGTGCTACAAGAAAATGCTGAATTAGAAAGCAGCCCCAGGATAAAGCAAGTATGGATTAGAGAAGCTCCAAGTTATTAACTGTTTATTGATTGAGGTATCACCTTTTAAAACTAGTTATGAGTAGTAGTATTCAGTGTATCACATTTAGATTTTGAAGCAAAGAATGTGTTTTAAAGATGATAAGTAGGGGCGCCTGGGTGGCTCAGTTGTTATGTGTCTGCATTCAGCTCAGGTCGTGATCCCAGGGTCCTGGGATCGAGCCCCGCATGGGGCTCCCTACTCAGCGGGGAGCCTGCTTCTCCCTCTCCCTCTGCCATTACCCCTGCTTGTGCTCTCTGGCTCTATCTCTCTGTCAAATAAATAAATAAAATCTTAAAAAAAAAAACTTTGGCAGTGAATTTTAAAATACTTTTTACTGTGCTTTAAGTGTTATTTAAAATTTGTTTATGCTCTCCTATATCTTCAAAACAAATTCTTACAACTTTAAGAAAGTTTTTTAGCCTTTGGAGAGAGAGTTTACAGGGTAGATTCTTCTTTCAACTCTTCATTTCTACAACTGAGTACATAGATGCTTGCTTAAAACCAAAATGAGAACAAAGGTTGGTAATATCTATAGAAAAGTTGATTAGAGAAAAATAGAGTGATTGAAAATATAGATGTCAAACATAGAAACTAATAGATTCTTAGAAAAGAAGTCAAAATAGAAAAATTGATTTCAAAAGACTGCAGTGCTTTTCTTCTACTTCTTTGGTTGATAAATAGCATGTATTTTAGCTTTTAAAAGACTCATACCATTTTATTTCCCATTTGTACTCTGTGTACCTAATTAATCTTATTGACTTGCATTAATAATAACCGGATTCTTAGCCTGTATAACTTGTTTTAAATCAATAGAAAAGTAATTATACCTATGTGCATAATGATGTATTTTTAAATATATTGTTAACCATATTTAAAAACATGTAAGTTAAAAGATAATTTGAACAAAAGGAATGTTCTAATAAACTGATAAGAATATTCATTTAATTGTCTACAATTACATATCAGAGTATATGGAGCAGGAGTGTTTCAGTTATTCTGTGCATTGCAGTAACTTGACCATTTATATTTAAACTTTAAGTCTCAAGCTAAGAAATATATCCTGAAATCATTTTAAAATTAAGATTTTATTGTTGCTAGCCCTAAGGAGTTCCTTTGTGCTTTAATTATGTTTGTAGTGTTTTCGAATCTACTTCTACTTGACTTTTCTCCTTTCTCTTACTCACTCCTATGATGCATATATTATGGGAGGAGACTTCTGGAATTCCTTCCCGTGTGGCTGCAGTTTAGGGAACTGTTTATAATCTTTGCTACTTTAAACCTTGGGACATCAGAAATAAGCTTAAAGTCTAATTAATGTTGAGGCCTTTCTTTACCGAAAGTGGAATATTTCGTATCTCTTTAAAAGGATTTCATTTTTTCCTAAGAAAGAAACACTCTTCCCTTGCATAGGCTTTGCAGGTGGGAAAGCAGGACTCTTAAGGGAAGACTGGGACTATCAAGGATGATTCCGCCTAAAGAGGACACGTGTGTTAACCACTACCCCTAATGCTGCGGCACATTTGATCCACGGTCTCCTCTCCAGTTGTTTTCTTAAAGGATATAAGAGCAGTTGGGTTTTTTATTTTAACTATTGTAAAATATTCAAGATTTCAAAAAACACAACATAATTTTATTATCTGTAACCCAAGAGTGTAGGCTGTATAATGTTCTGAGTCCTATGATTCTACATTTTCTCTCTGTGCCGTTATCAACATTTGAAAAGTGTTCTTTTGCCAGACAACCGAAGTCTCTATCCAGACATGCAAACTGATTTTGACAAGAGGCTATCTACAATGTAGAAATCTAAAGATATTTATAAAACTGAACATTCAAAACAAATTCTTACGCACTGGGCATCAACCCAACCTAACAAACCTTATTTCCCTATTAATATAACTTTAACATAGGTGGAATTCCTATAGAATCTGGAGAACTTTTTAAGTTGAAACCAGTTAAAATGCCCTCTTTTTGGACCTAAGAATGATGACATTTCTGCAACGAATGACATACATACCAAGATTCTTAAGCAAGGAGAACTGTAACTCAGAGTTCAATGTGAAGTTTTCTTCTATATCTAGATCAATAAGTTATCAAAGACATAACAGTATGCTCAGTTTTTAAGAGAATTGAGAAAACATTAACTCTTCATGGAACACAGTGTAGCCTAAAATGAAATCTTTCCAGCAAACCTTAGCATTGCCACATTCAAGCTCTGTAGGCTTGTCAAAATGAACTGTCACCAGTCATCTAGAAATTTAGTAGAGATCAGTTGGCTTTTTTTTTTTTAATAAACATTTAATTAGTAAGATATTGGCCTAAGTTTGTGTTGGATTTCTTACCTATCTTAACATTAAAGATAAAAGAAGAAAGCCAGATTCATGTTAAGACAACAGTGTAGATGAACCTGGAAGGCATTATGTTAAGTGAAATAAGCCAGGCAGAGAAAGAAAGACAAATACTGTGTGGTATTACTCATAGGTGGAATCTAAAAATGTATATATAGGGGCGCCTGGGTGGCTCAGTCGATAGAGTGGCTGGCTCTTGATTTCAGCTCAGGTCATGATCTCAGAGTCCTGGAATGGAGCCCCCCCCAGTCAGGATCTGCACTCAGCAGGGAGTCTGCTTGAGGATTCTCTCCCTCTCTCAGCCCCTCCCCCTGCTCACTCACACTTGCTCTGTCTCTCTAAAATAAATAAAATTTTTAAAAAACTAACTAATTAAAAAATATATGTATATCAAGCTCACATAAACAGAGTAGACTTAACAGTTGCCAGGGGGCTGGTGGAGGGGGAAAAAGAGAGTTTGATAGAAGAGTACAAACTTTTAGTTGTTAGGTGAAGAAATGCTAAGGATCTAATGTATAGTGTGGTGACCATAGTTGGTAACAGTGTAGTGTATAAGTGAAATTTGCTGAGTAGAACTAAAGTGTTCTCATCACAAAGACCAAAAAAAAAAAAAAAAGCAAATATGCAAGGTGATGGAGGTGTTAATGAACTTGATAGTGGGAATCCTTTTACAGTGTATACTGACATCAAGTCATGTTGTACACTTTACCTACAGTGTCGTCCGTTATACCTCAGTAAATCTGGGGAAAAAAAGAATGACTGAATTTTAAAATATTTTTTTAACAGGTTGTATCAATCAGTGAAAATTCTATATTCCTTTGGCATCTTTGTGACATATTCAATTCAGTTCTATGTTCCGGCAGAGATCATCATCCCTGTGATCACATCCAAATTTCATGCTAAATGGAAACAAATCTGTGAATTTGCGATAAGGTCCTTCTTGGTTGCTATTACGTGTAAGTATTACTACACATTTATATCATCATAAGTTTTTCTTGTTGAATTTCGTATAATGAAGCTACTTAAAGTATATTTTTTAATATTTTAAAAACAATTTTGTTTACATAGCTGAGATACTTTTTGGATTAAAATTCTGTTATTCTACTACTGTATAAGAAAAACATAAACCAGAGCCTATTATACTTAAAAGAACTAATCAAATTATTATTTTGAAAACTACATCAGTAGTGATTAAAATATATTTAAATAAGGTGCGTCAGGGACTCCTTATATGCTTGATAACACATTTTAGTTCAATTTTAATTTTCCTTGGGTTTTTTTATTTCTGCTAACTTTTGTATATTTAACAGTTTAACTCTCCATGACTACCTATAGAAATGGGTTTGGTTTTGTTTTGGTCTTTAATAATTTCAGTGACTAATCTTGCTTATTATTTGAAGGAATGTGTGTCATCTTGTCTTAAGGTTTCACATTATAAAATGCCTCCACCAGGGAGCACTAATTATGGAGACCTGTGGAGAAGAAGCTTGGTTTTGGTACAGTGGAAATAGTGTGAGTTTTGGGGTCACACTGATCTGACGGTTCAAACCTACCACTCACCTGCTGGTGTCTTTAGACAAGTTCCATGCCATCTGTAAGCCCCTCTTTTTTCAAATGAGAAATGAAGAAAGACTTCCTTCATGGCATTTCTGTAGGGTTTAAGAATATTAACAAAGTAGCCAGAAGTTATAATTGTCACCATTATTGTTGTAACCACAAATATAAGATGACCATGATACTGAACCAGTGATTGTCTAGAATGGTACCAGGGACCATTGGAAATGGGTCAGCTTTCTGTGGAAGATATGAGTAACCATCTTGGCCCAGTCAAGGTGAGAGAATGAGAGAGCTAGAAATTAGGGGCAACTATAAATTTCAGTGAGCAGCTTGGGGTGGAGCTTAGCCTAGATCTAAAGAAAAAGCAAAGCTGGGAAAAGTAAAAACTTTTTTCCAAATTAATCATTTAAATGAATTATAGCAACAATAAGGTAAATCATATTGAGGAGTGAAGTCAAGGAGCCCAAACTCTGATGACAAAGAAAACATTCAGTAGGAAAAAGTTGTTTTGAGACATTTTAAAATATTTCTTACACATTGGTTTTATTGATATTTTAACAACTGTACTAAATAAAAAGGCTGATTTCAGTACAAATCCTTTTATCATAGATGTAAGACTTCTGTTCTGAAAGCATATCTCCTTTTAAAATTAGTAACTAAAGTTCACTTGAAGGAGCTTGAAGAAAATGTTAATGGGATTTAATAACTTGTGATAGCTCAAGTAACTTCACCTACTTCTTCACACTGGCCACCATGTTATGTCAAAGCGATCTGTCTGTACATCCACTACCATGAGTCTATTCCCAGAAGCCAGGGGCTCTCCTCAGGAGCTGAGTTCATGACACAGAGAATGGCCAGTGTTTCTTTGCTGCTTCTGTCTTTTTAGTTAAAAATAGTTAAAGCTACTCAGTGGTAACCGAGGGTTACAGTTACGGCATGCTTTGGACAAAGAGAACACAGACCAGGTAGTATTCCCTTCTACTTTACTGTGACACATCATCGGACACTGAGCTTCACTGGAGTCTTTGGCACATGCTTCCAAATTAAAGTAAAAGCCAGCCGATATGCATGACAGGACTGTTTTTTATCTGTTCTTTAAAGCACTTGACAAGCTTTGGGGGCAGGCTCCTTATGGATGGGTGTGTGGACAGCTGATGGGACCCTGCAATGTCCACAGAGCAGGCTGTGTGACACTAGCAGTGAGAGTGGAGGCTCAGCTGGGTGTGCTTTGGAAAATTGAGTATCTTTCAGTGTCCCATAATCCTTTCCAAGTTTGTAGTATTGATGTTCAGAGTAGTGAGCTTATCAGCTTGGATTGTGTTGGTTACGCCCAAGTCTCTATTTAGCATTTAAATCACCATTTCAAAGCATCTTCTTAGCGGAACTCAAAAGCTTGGACGGATGGGTCAGACTCTTTTCTACCTGTTTTCTCTCTGCATTTACTTGCTATATAGAGGCATCTCACAGGTGAGGGAGGGGTGGGTAGAAGCTGGCCGACAGCCACCATCAGCTACAATAAGTACCTTTCATCTTACAAGCAAACCTGTAGAAAGAACTGTGAAACTTGGAATTATAACCAACACTGAGACCAGTGTTTATTTATCTTTATTTTTAAATTTTATTTATTTATTTAACAGAGAGAGACACAGCAAGAGAGGGAACACCAGCAGGGGGAGTGGGAGAGGGAGAAGTAGACTTCCCACTGAGCAGGGAGCCCGATGCGGGGCTCGATCCCAGGACCCTGGGATTGTGACCTGAGCCGAAGGCAGACGCTTAACCGACCAAGCCACCCAGGCGCCCCGGAGACCAGTGTTTAATTTCATGTTTGAATTGAATCTGTAAAATATGTTAAGTACTATTTATTTCTATTATTGTCCAATTCGTTGATCTTTCTACTATTTCTAATTTGAAAATTTTTTGGCCTTAGGAGTTTGCTCTATAGTTTTAGGAGATATGACTGCAAAGTACCAAAAAATATAAATCTTAGTAGTTTGTAGAATACTAGAGAAGATACACTAAAATCCTTCATTTCAGTTAGTTGCCGTTGCAGGTGAGGAAAGCTGTATCTTCCTCATATTCTGGTCAGGCAGTACATGGGGAGTACCATTAATTATTTGTGTAATGAAAATGTATGTGTTGGGGTGTTCCTCACAGCTTTGTTGTTGATGTTATAATATCCAGTATTTTGGTTTTTTTCTCTATATTTTCTTCTCTGTGTTTTCACCCTGCAGATGCAAAGAATGGACTTAAAATGGGATTTTTTTTTTTTTTTATGAGAGGAAACTTTGTGCCTTAAGGATACATTCTTTTTCTCTATAATATAGTTTTGGAAAATACTGAATAAACTTAATTAGTATTTAATAGATCTATTCATAACACCTGTCTGTAAATGACATAGGGCCGCCTATTTACAGTAATCCTATAGTAAATATTTATAATGAATAAATTCTCCGTATCCCAGACTATCCTTTGACTTCCTGTTTTTGGAGTTTTTATATATCAGATTTGCCTAAAATATATATATTTCTCTGCCTTATTGACTAATAGCATTACCAAATAACACTTCAAGCCATTTTTTAACTAGCAAATATCTATTGATTATATAAAGTTTAAGGGATGACTTCAGCTAATTGATAAATTTCATGATTTAAAAGTGTTTGATAAGGGGCACCTGGGTGGCTCAGTCAGTTAAGCGTCTGCCTTCAGCTCAGGTCATGATCCCAGGGTCCTGGGATCGAGTCCCGCATCGGGCTCCCTGCTCAGTGGGGCACGTGCTGCTCCCCCTGCTTGTGCTCTCTCTCTCTTACTCAAACAAATAAAATTTTTGAAAAAATAAAAAATAAAAAAATGAAAGTGTTTGATAAATGGAATTCTGGTCTGAATGAACAAATTCTAAAAAACCTATGGTGTTCCTCCACATGGTTTTCCAACCATATTTCACTTGATTTTTACTAATAACAGCTGGATTATTGAAAAACATGAATGAGGAGAAATGAATTCCCAAATGAAAGGCTCTTCAGATGGCAATGTTCTAGTCCTGCTTGTCGGATCTTCCTTTTGTAACTGCCATGTAGTATAAGTAGGTAGAAGTGTGTCCCCCATGAAATGGATGTTGTCAATGAAATTTGAAAGGTCCTAATTTTGTTTGGGAGTTACGATTATAGTTCCCTGGAGAAAAATGTTAAAAGAATGTAGCAAGCATCTATTCAACAGGGAACCCACTTTATCAAGCATTTCTAGTTTAGAGCTGCAACATCTTCAAAGTCATGTATCTTATTTAGGAATGTTTACACACTTCAGTCCTCTAGGTGTGAGGCTAGGTTTATGATTTCAAAATAAATTTTAGGGTTTTAGCTTTCAAAAGAAATTAAATAGGAAATAAATACTTCCAAGAAACCTAGTCGTTCCAAATTAATACCACATCCTCGTGAAAAACACTGAGAGCCCCAAGCTGCAAACGGAAGAGTTAATTACAGAGCCCAAGTTAAATTATATACACACCAAGAAAGTTCAGCAAGAGACCAGGAGGCTAGAAATGAGAAAAGCAAAAGTATGTAAACTGAGAAATAAAAAGAGAGGATGGGGCACCTGGGTGGTTCAGTCGTTTTAGCGCCCAACTCTTGATTTCGGCTCAGGTCATGATTGTGAGGTCGAGCCCCGCATTGAACTCCATGCTCAGTGGGTAGCCTGCTTGAGTTTCTCTCCCTCTGCCCCTCCCCCTGCTCGCTCTCTCTCTCAAAATAAATACATAGAAAAGAGGGATAAAAAAGATTAGAGGGAAGATGGTAGCTTTAGGAGACAAGTTAGGAAGCGCCAACACCCGCGTCAGTGGAGCCCCCAAAGCCGGAACTGGGGTGATGAAATCCTCCTTGGTAGCAGGGTGACGTAGCTGTGAGTCCGCTGTGAGCAGGCTCCGGGGTTATTTCTGGGGGCCAGTGCAGACCCTCAGCAAGTCCATCAGTGGGCCGTTTTAGGACGTTTGAGGAAGGAATGGGAGTCTGAGTTTTTACAGGCCCTCTCTTGGTGTCCTTGGCAAGAGAAGGGTAAGTAGGACCAAGAAGGTGCCAGATCAGAGCTTTTTGGAAAGCCTGCCGGCAGTTTGGACGAAAATCGGGTCAAAAGCAGTGGTACGTTATTGTTGTTATTATTTTTTTTAACTTTTCGTTTTGAAATAATTCAGAAAAGTTATAAAGGCAAGTAGAGTTGCCATACCCACTATCTACATTTAGTACTCCTTTAAGTACTAAGTATGTAAGTAAGGTGACGACGGCTTCTCATCTCCTAGGTGCCGGAGCGATTCTGATCCCGCGGCTGGATGCTGTGATTTCCTTGGTCGGGGCTGTGAGCAGCAGCACCCTGGCCCTGGTCCTGCCACCTTTCGTTGAGATTCTTACATTCTCTAAGGAACACTACAGCCTGTGGATGGTCCTGAAAAATACTTCCATAGCATTCACTGGCATTGTGGGATTCTTCTTAGGTACATATGTAACTGTGGAAGAAATTATTTATCCTACTCCCAAAGTTGGTGTGCCACAAAACCGTTCTCTAAATTTGAATTCAACCTGCTTTCCATCTGGTTTGAAATAGTGGAAGCAGAATTATGAGTCTTCTCCTTTTGTCTCGATTCTGAAAATGATGAAAATAAGAACTAGTAGAACATATTGCCATGTGCTTAAAAATAGAACCAAATTCTCTTTTCTTTTGGCACAGTAATGGTATTTTAGTAGTAGACTGTAATTCTTTACCCATAGTGGTAAACTATGACAGATTATTGGTTTTAACTATTAGCAATAATTTCAAAAAATTTAGTTTTGAAAATTTTTTAAATCAAAATTAACAAAATGTAGAAAAATTAAAGAATAAAAAGACTTCCACTATTCTTCAATCAATCAGAAATACTCTAATGAAGATTCTGTTTTATACCCATGCTCCTCTTTCCCCACCCAGTTGAGGGGAGAACAGGGTTCTAACAATAAGAGAATCAAAGAAGGACATAGTTAACAAAAATCTTCTCACTATCTCGGTGAATATCAAAGTGTACTTTGTGTATAATGTAAAAATGTCCTAAATTGTGTTTTTACTAGAGAGCCAAATACTTACAATTCATCCCTGGAAGGATAGAAAACTCATTAACCCTAATGTAAACATCAGAAATCCCTACAACCAGAATTATTCTACACTATTTTATGATGGTAGTTGACCTGCACAATGAAAACTCTGAGGCACTGTGTGAGATCCTGACTTAGTGTCTCAATCAAATTTGAAAGAGACTTTAAGGGTTATCCAACACAATTCCCTTATTTCTTACCTAAGGAAATTCATGCACAGAAAGGTTAAGTAACTTGGTCAAGACCACTCAGCTTTGAGATCAAGCAAGAGAACCTGATCTTTTGACCCCCCAGTCGAAAATCCAGTCAGGATTTTTTATTTTTTACATCACATCCAGGAAAAGGAATAAATTATGTCCAGTTAGTCTTTAGTGTTGCATCTATTTAATTATATTTTAACACTTGGAAAGCCAGTGATCTTTGAATAGTATATGTGACCCAACCATAAAAATCAGAGAACTCTGAAAAGCATGTATTATAGCCATATAAATAAACCCCAACAAGAGAAAGAAGTTTTTTGTTTTGTTTTGTTTTAAAAAATAGAAATCACATGCCGGTTTAACTGCTGGCTAGTAGAAGGTACCCAGCTACTCTGTTTGTGGCTCAAACTCTCCTTATTAGTTCTTCCCTTTTTGGGTTTTGTAGGCACCATCTTTCTCAATGGCAGAAAATAGGTATCTGACAAAATACAGGATATGTGTATTCCTTCCAGCCCTGTGGCTTTTTCATTATAGCCTTTTACTGATCTAAATGGGCAGAATAAAAAAAAAAAAACATAAAGAAATTTGTGCTGAGGAAAAATCAAGGCAACAGTAGACTACTAAATCTTGAGACACTCCAGGTTTCTTCCAGAGAAATACCTTTTATTACTCCATATTTGTCAAGCCCAGTTATTAACCAAAACAATCTCAGTTGACATGAAAAATGAAAAATTTTACATTTAAAACATTAAGAATCTTGACTTTTTAAAAAACCCATACTTTAAAACATGTTGAACTTTTTAATCAGGCTGATGGTACTCTAATTTGTAATACTGTAAGATATCATCAAGATCACTGTAGTGTGTGTATTCTGTATTTTTATATATAAATGTTAACTTAGTTCAACTATTTTTTGCTTTGCATTATTAATGAGTCATCAAATACAATTCTAACAAAGTATCAGAAGCTTTATTTTTGTACAAATTCATAAGAATCAAACTTTTTTTAAACATTTACATTAGATATCACCAATAATTGTTTGTGATACTTTTTTATCAAATCTGTTCTGTTGAGCTTTTAGTCATACTGAGAGAATGTGGGCAAAGTCATAGGAAAAGTAATCGTCATTGAAACTGTTGTATAATTGTGTTTCTAAGAATAAATTAAGTTGTTTTTTAAAAATGTGTAACTTGGTGTAAAATGACTTGAAAACCGTTATTTAATAGAAAGCACTATTATTTTGTCTCTTCAGATATTTCTAGTCTATGCATGAAATTTTATTTTTATACTTTGACCTGTTTATTTTCCTTATTAATTCATCAAATTCAATAAATTTTGAATAGTTGATCATAGCAATAAATAAATTTTAGATTTCGCACGAACAAAATGTTGAGCGCATTATCAGCCAGGCTTCCTTATGCAGCGAGTGCTGAATCAACAGCCAGTACTTAGTCCACTAAATCACCGATACTTTAAATACAAGAGAAAAGTTGAAATGACAAAAGAAGGGGCTAAAAAGGGAGAGACTAGTCTTAATCCTTAACAAGAAACTGTTTAGATGTGAAGCATAAACGCACCCTTACTTAAGGATTTTTGATGATGTATTTTATTTGCAAAAAAAATCTGGCAATATTTTTTCCTCTGAAAATTTAGTTTTAATGAGTCCCACACCTTTTCTAAAGATTCTTGGAGAAGCTGTTTTGATGAGACCAGCTGTTGCTTTCATTTTGGGGCCTGGACAGATGAGAGCGATTGCACTTGTCAAATTGTATATCTGGTATCTTGGTCCATTACGTTATGGCTCAGACGACTGCAGCGTTTCATCTGCCACAATAAAGAACCCCCTTCTCTGAAAGCTAATCAGGTGCCTAGAGCCTTTTCTAACGCTGAGATGGGGGAGAAAGGAAAGCTTCACTTACCTCTGCTGACCTCTGTTCCAAGTCAGTTATCATTAGTCCCTTAACTTCAAAAGGGTGTCGCCAGTTTCAGAGTCAACTTGTCAAAACACTGGTTTTCAGATATATATATATTTTTTATCAGAGGATCTTCTTTTCCCCACATGGTCAGATTTCTCCACAATTAAATAAGAACTAGGGTTTTTCCTTGGTTAAAGACCAATCTGTATGATGTTATCAAATAAGAAAGTATACTGGAGCAGCAAATGCCACATTATGTTTTAATTCTGTCCTTGCTGAATTCCCCTTTCTTAAAACCGGTTCTGCCTCTCATCTAGGCAACGCACTTAACGTTTTTATAAGCATTTTATGCTTCCTAACAGGGCCTAATTTAATTCAGTATTTTCCGAATAGTTGCAGGAAAACTGCCTAACTGCAAGGCACTATAAAAATGTTAATGGAACTATGAATTAAAGTGCCACATTAGTGCCATTTCCAGCTGTGGCAAAGCACAGGTGTTAGCGGAGCTTACCTGTGGCTTTCTTCACTGTAGATGTCAGCCCGTACAGCATCTCAGTAGTACATTTGTTTACGTTAGGTTTCGACCTCAGTTCTCCTTTCTTTGTTAAAAAAGAAGACACAGAACAGAGGTAATGGAAATCATAAATAAAAATTTGAAAAGAATACCAGTGGCCCAATGAATATTTTCTGTTGAGGAATAAGATTTGGCAAAAATACAGACCACCGATCGTGTAAAATGAGTTTGTTTGTTTGTTTGTTTTCTAAATGAGTCTGTTTGGTTCGTTTTGGCTGAACTAGCTTCTCCCTTCATAAGAAAATTTGAGAACTTTGATCTAAAAGGTGTAACAAGATACTTCCTAACATTAAATGGCTGACTGTAATAGTTAAGACTTTGTTATGAATAATCTTATTTATGCCCCAAGTGCTTACTCAGCTAAACGCCTTAATGAAAGTGGTTTTCACCTAGGAGATAAGAAAACATACTTAAGAAATGACTGGAAAGGCTATTTATTACCCTGTGATAAATGAAATGACGACTTACTCTCTTAAAATGTCATATTAAAATTAGCTCGTTCTTATGCACGTACACACACACACACACACACACACATCCATAATCCATGTGAATTAGATACTAATGTTAACATACCATTTAAATTGAGACCAGAAAGAGGATGTGTTGAAAGATCACTCCAAAAATTATTCCATTACAGTTTTCTTGATAAACAGGAAAGTAAATGCTTATACCATGAATTAATTAAGCTGTGGATTTTTGTGTTTTTCAAAATGATTTTTTGTTAGTTTGAAATATCATTGCACTTGAGTCAATTCTTTTTCTTTTAACTTATTTTTCTTTACAACATGAAAAAAACTGTCTTAAAGTACTGTAACTCTTCTGAATTCTCAATAAAATATAATTATTTTGCTTGCAAATGCCTTTTTAAATGAATTTGTCTTCTATAAGGTTAAATGATACTGACAAATGTCATGAGCTGAAAATGGCACTAGTATAGCCCATTCATACCATTTTAATGAGTCTTTGTGGTTAATTCTTTGTCATGTGACCTTCAGCCTTGGAAGCTGATATTATGTGCCTCTAAGATTTAAGAGCAGTTGATTAAAAATGAAGGGACATACTCAAAACCATGACCTGACCTTCCCACAAAGTAAATGCAGAATGAGCAGTCTGCAGATGCTACGTCTGTGATTTAATTTACCACTCTCTGTAGGTCAAGAGTATGTATCAGTTATACTCTCATACATTTTGCTTGCATTATGCCAACTCCCCAAATCAAAGATCATAAACATATTTATACCTTTACATCAATAATCCTGCTCTTGTGAACCTAACCTAAGGACATGCTATAGTTCATCAAAAGAGAAACACTGTGCCTAAAGGTGCATCAACAACATTTTAGTAGTGAAAAATTGGAAACAAATGTTCAACAATAAGGAAATCATAAATTGTGACATATTAACCTACAATACAATGAAGATTGTGTTACATTGTCATTACACTGAAGGTTAATAATCTGGAAAAGAATAAATATGTAAAATTAATTTTTAATTGCAGCTCTGTAAAAATAATGCTTTTGAACAGATGTAAAGTACACAGAAAGTGGAACCATAGTGTTAGGAAAAAGATGGGTTTGGGGCAACCTGGGTAGCTCAGTCAGTTGAGCATCTGACTCTTGGTTTCGGCTCAGGTCATGATCTCATGGGTGGTGAGAGTGAGCCCTGTGTCAGGCTCCATGCATGTGCTCTTTCTCTCAAACAAATAAATCTTTTTTTAAAAAAAATGGGTTTTACGATTTTTAAATGAATAGTAAAGGGAGGACTGTGAGAGAAATAAAGGGGAATAAAGTTATAAAGCCTTAGTAGGAGTACATGCTCTTAGCAAACAACAGAAGAAATGGAAAGACAAAAACAATAAACCAACAGAGTAGGGATAGAACTAGGTACAGAGAGAGAAATGCAATAAAAAGACTCACAATACTTGCTGAAGGAAAACAAATACAGCCACTTTGTAAAATTAATTTTAGTTTTTTTAATGCAAAAGAGCGGTGGTTCTAACATATGCACATGGTCTCGAAATTTTGCACATAGATTGGTGGGGTTCACATGTTAAAGAACTGGCTTGATTTGAAGTTTCCTTTTAAGGTAGATTTGTTTGAAGGCTTAAAATGGTGAGAGGGAATCAGGTCTTTTGGTCTTCAAAGTTCTCTGGTGCCAGGGAGCACAGGACCACTTGGTCGCAGATGATAGAATGCTTCTCAAACTAAAGCTAAAACATGAATCTTGCCAAGAATTAGGGAGTAATTTCACTCTCCTCCATCCTGGATCTTGAGCTGGGCTAAAGGATGAGGGTTGGACACAGGAACACCCCCCCACCCTGCCTAACCTGTCCTAAGCAGAGAGGAAAGGAGTGTTGACTGTGGGTCAGGCTAAGCAGGTCTAGAATGGAAGAAGAAGATAGACCAAAAAACTGGGCAGTGCAGACGGAAGACCTTCAGATCAGAGACCCACAGTGTCTTTATGTATCTTTGTAGCTCATGCTCCTCATAGTGCTCCACAAGGGCAAAGAACAAGGCACTAGGAAATCTGATATCATCTCCTGTCTTAAATCTTCTCGCCTTCCCCAATCTCAGCTGTATAAAGTAACCACGCTCCTTCATGTGGTTCACTGGCAGGCCTCACTCTGTTGCCTTCCCTACAAGTTACAGTAACACCAAAGTGCTGGTCGCCCCACAAACATATGGCACATATTCTGTTGTTCACCTGCATGACTTGATCACATCATGTTGAGACAATTTCCTTCTACTCCCTCCCCTCCAACGCGTGTTTTCCTGGCCAACCCTTAGCTATTGGTAAGACTCAGCCTGGGTGTCTCTTCTATCAGGAAGCCTTCGCATTCATCCTCTCCCCTATCCCCAGTGAGTTGTGTCTTCTTTCACGCGAGCAGATGACCTTGGGTTTATGGTCACACTTTCCACATGGTTTGGTAATCCAGTTTCTGTGTCTGTCTCTCTGCTACACTGGGAGTCCCACAAGTATGCTACATGTATTCATTGCTTGGTTTCTTCTCTGTCCACCTTTAGAGAATATAAGCTTCACAGAGGAGGTGATTTTGGCAATTGTCTTCACTCCTGAAAATCCAGTGCCAAGAGGAGGGCTGGACACATAGTAGATGCCTGAAAAATATTTGTTGAATGAATGTATGAATTGAAAAAAATAACAAGGAAAAGCCCGTATTAGAGCCCTGGCACATACTAAACTCTTCAAGCAGAGGAGTAAACTCAGGCTTTTTATACAGACCTCTGCACCCATGCCTATTTGTTTAATGACTGGAGCCAGCCCTCTTCCATATGCTAACCCAGCAGGCTGTAATACTGTAAAACAAAGACCACCAAGTCTGAGCGTCTTGTAAAAAAACCTATGAGTCAGTCAAACCTTAAAACCATATTCAGGAGCTCCTGGTAGTACATGTGAAGTCTAATAAAAAGGAAAAAACTGGAAATCTTTTCTCACAAGACTTGATGTATTCATGTTTTATACAAACAGATTGTTTTATAGAAAAAAAATCAGAGGTTATACTTTCTATCCATTGTTTAAAAAATTATGTAAGACCTAGAATGCAAATAGTCCATTTCTGTCTAAAAAGTATAAAAAGAAGTATCTGTCTAAAGTATAACATCTAGTCCTGATGTCTGAGAGTACTTTCCTGAATTTTTGATGCCTAAACGTTCCCTGCTTATAAAAAGAGTCATACATTCAGTAGTTTGGGAGGACCCTCTCACAAAGGAGAGCATTCTCTAGCTCTTCTGAGAAGCTACCTATTGTCAAAGTGCGTCACCATATATGCCATAAATGGACCTCAGTAAAAATCAAGAATGGGAATCTATAACTGTTTGGAAAAGTGACTGTCAAGATGATCATTTTGCAGAACTAGCTAGGAATGAAAAGCGAAAATAAGATTAGCAATGGATATCTGGAAATTGGAATTAATTTAAAGGAAGATCCATTGCTCCATACATTGTCTTTCATGAGACCTCACCCATGTGTGTTCTTTGCAGGGTGTGCTCTAGGACCAACCACGGTCATAGTTTTCACTATAAAATCAATGACTTTTGCCACTGGGGAAGGTAAGACCCCTCAAGTTTATATTCCTCATGTTGTCCAGATCACCTTCCTTAGGATGTGCTTGTACCGGTAGTCATCCAATGTTAATGACTCAATATTTGTATTAAAAGAAAGTGTCAGAACATGAAAAACTGCCCAACATCGCTTGGCATCAGGGAAATACAAATCAAAACCTCAATGACATATCACCTCACACCAGGCAGAATGGCTAAAATTAACAAGTCAGGAAAAGACAGACGTTGGCAGGGATGCGGAGAAAGGGGAACCCTCCTACACTGTTGGTGGGAATGCAAGCTGGTGCAGCCACTCTGGAAAAGAGTATGGAGGTTCCTCAAAAAATTCAAAATAGAGCTACCCTATGACCCAGCAATCACACTACTGGGTATTTACCCCAAAGATACAAATGTAGTGATCCAAAGGGGTACGTGCATCCCAATGTTTATAGCAGCAATGTCCACAATAGCCAAACTGTGGAAAGAGCCAAGATGTCCATCGACAGATGAATGGATAAAGAAGGTGTGGTGTATATACACAATAGAATATTATGCAGCCATCAAAAAAACACAAAATCTTGCCATTTACAACAACATGGATAGAACTAGAGGGTATTAGGCTAAGCAAAATAAGTCAATCAGAGAAAGACAAGTATATGATCTCACTGATATGAGGAATTCTTAATCTCAGGAAACAAACTGAGAATTGCTGTAGTGGTAGAGGGTGGGAGGGATGGGGTGGCTGGGTGATAGACATTAGGGAGGGTATGTGCTATGGTGAGCACCGTGAATTGTCCAAGACTGTTGAATCACAGACCTGTACCTCTGAAACAAATAATACATTATATGTTTAAAAAAAAGATAGTAGGAAGGGAAAAATGAAGGAGGGGATATTGGAGGGGGAGACGAACCATGA